ATGTATGGCTTTTGCCTGTCTCTTATACACATGTAGATGGGTATTAAAATAATATTTAATGATAGTTTACTATTTATGTCTTTTCATTGCAATATTTTTACTCCTTTTAGCAATTGATCTGTGTTTACCATCCCCATGTGAGAATGGTGGAGTCTGCAATAACTTTCTGACACGTTACAACTGTACATGCAGTGCAGGCTGGGAAGGGACTCATTGTGAACAAGGTAAGTGAATGTTTTATAATTTTTTTAAAAATAATATTTAATGATAGTTTACTATTTATGTCTTTTCATTGCAATGTTTTTACTCCTTTTAGCAATTGATCTGTGTTTATCAACCCCATGTGAGAATGGAGGAGTCTGCAATAACTTTCAGACAAGCTACAGCTGTACATGTAGTGCAGGCTGGGAAGGGACACACTGTGAACAAGGTTAGTGAATGTTATAATTTTCATTAAAATAATATTTAATGATAGTTTACTATTTATGTCTTTTCATTGCAATGTTTTTACTCCTTTTAGCAATTGATCTGTGTTTATCCACCCCATGTGAGAATCGAGGAGTCTGCAATAACTTTCTGACAAGTTACAACTGTACATGTAGTGCAGGCTGGGAAGGGACTCATTGTGAACAAGGTAAGTCAAAGTTATAATTTCCATTAAAATAATATTTAAGGATAGTTTACTATTTATGTCTTTTCATTGCAATGTTTTTACTCCTTTTAGCAATTGATCTGTGTTTATCCACCCCATGTGAGAATGGAGGAGTCTGCAATAACTTTCAGACAAGCTACAGCTGTACATGTAGTGCAGGCTGGGAAGGGACACACTGTGAACAAGGTTAGTGAATGTTATAATTTTCTTTAAAATAATATTTAATGATAGTTTACTATTTATGTCTTTCATTGCAATGTTTTTACTCCTTTTAGCAATTGATCTTTGTTTATCCACCCCATGTGAGAATCGAGGAGTCTGCAATAACTTTCTGACAAGTTACAACTGTACATGTAGTGCAGGCTGGGAAGGGACTCATTGTGAACAAGGTAAGTTAAAGTTATAATTTTCATTAAAATAATATTTAAGGATAGTTTACTATTTATGTCTTTTCATTGCAATGTTTTTACTCCTTTTAGCAATTGATCTGTGTTTATCCACCCCATGTGAGAATGGAGGAGTCTGCAATAACTTTCAGACAAGTTACAACTGTACATGCAGTGCAGGCTGGGAAGGGACACACTGTGAACAAGAGTGAATGTTATAATTTTCTTTAAAATTATATTTAATGATAGTTTACTATTTATGTCTTTTCATTGCAATGTTTTTACTCCTTTTAGCAATTGATCTGTGTTTATCCTTCCCATGTGAGAATGGAGGAGTCTGCAATAACTTTCAGACAAGCTACA